AAACCCCCTTGGGTCTTGGATTGGAAATCCCGCCAGTTGGTTTGGGGGCAAAAAAACCCAGCCGGGGGTTGTCGCGGGTTGGAAACCCCCCCGCCTTTCCCCTTGGGGAGGGTTCACCGGTTTTCCGCCGTTGCATATCCGGATATGCAACGGTGGCATAAAGTGAATGATACACCGTCGCACAGACTACAGTGGAGAGTGTTTTCTGCTCAAGGAATAGTGGAGGAATAATGAACACTACGACACCACGATGCGATGCGGGGCAGTGTAGCAAAGTTTGACACGCTGGGGTCGACACGAGCGAGAGCCGCAGCGCCGAGCGCGCCCGCGGGCACACGTCCCAGCTGCCCCAGCACAGAGTCAGAGAGAGGCGACAGGGCGCTCATCCGACCGTCCCACCCTCGCTCAGGGTGGCAAAGTCGTTTGCCGTGTCCGAGTCAAGCGCGGTGAACCTGTTCGCGGTGTTTACCACCGAGTTGGAGGAGCCCTGGAAGGCGCCGCCCGTGATCCAATCGAGGCCCGTCTCGACGCCTGCGGCGACGTACTTGCCGCCCGTGACCAGGCCGAGACCGGCGAATTGCGTCCACGACGCGGGGGCGCCGGGCTTGTCGGGCGCCGCTGTCACCTGGCCGCCGAGGTACCCGCCGTCCAGCGTGAGCGGATCGCCCTTGGCGCCCGGACTCTGCAGCGCGAGCGCCGGCGCCGCGTCGAGGCGGCGGCTCCCGCCACGCTCGCTGCTACAGCTCTCCTCCCAACTCCGGAGGCACTTGCCCTTGGCTGCACACCACGCGAAGCCAGCGCTGGCGCGGCAGCCGTGCTCGTCTGCATCGGCACCGACCTTGGCCATCGGAGGCTTGGTCGCCGCAGCCGCCGTGGGCTCCGCCGCCGCCGCGGCCGTCGGCGGCATCGCCGCGGGCGCAGCTTTGCCATCGTTGAAGAAGCAGTACAGCCACCACTGCTTGTTAATCTGGAGGAAGGTCCAGACTGGGTGTGTCGCCGAGAGGACCGGAACGACAGGCATCTCGTACCACGGGAACGGGGTCTCCGCCCACAACTCGGCCTGGTAGGCGCCCTCGTCGGTACCCGTCTTGACGGTCTCGGTGATCTTACATCCCAGCGCCGGGCAGCAGAAGCCGCCGGTCGGGCATGGCGGGCAGTTCTCGCGCCACTGCTGAGCGAGGGCCTCCTGCGAGTGCTGTGCCGTGGCGAAACCCATGAAGCCGTCGTCGACGGTGCCGCCAAGCTTCCGCTTGTTGTCCACGACGGGAGGAGTCGGTGCGGCGGACGTGGCCACGATGATGGCGAGGGCGCAGGTCTTGTAAAGCATGTCGACTGATGACTGATGTAAGGCAAAAGGACGCTCGCAGGCTCGGATGCTCCTTGAGGATATGGAAAAAAGAATTCCACGAGCTCTAAGACCGCCCATTGCAAGAATTTCTGCCACCCCTGTGTCAGTGTGCCTGTGGTAGTGAGAGACTGCCAGCGAGAAGCTGGAGGCAGGTCGCTAGACTGAGAGACTATGGAGAGTTCACGTCATGACGGTTAGCCGCTGTCATGACGGTTAGCCGCTGTCATGACAGCTGCCAGCTGTCATACAGCAAACGACAGCGACAGTGACACCTACCTGTCACCAGCTGTCACCAGCTGTTACCAGCTGTCACCAGCTGTCACCAGCTGTCGTTGCTGCTGTCGTTGCTGCTGTCGTTGCTGCTGTCGTAACCATCCCCGACGGTCCAACTGTCACTGCTGCTGTAATTGCGCAGCTGTCATTCCTGCTGTCATTGCTGCTGTCATCGCTGTCGTTGCTGCTGCTGTGCTGTCATTGCTGCTGTCATTGCTGCTGTCATTGCCGCTGTCATTGCTGCTGTCATTGCTGCTGTCATGAGCACCCCCGCAGGACAGTGTGTGGTGCCACTAGCGAGAGAGACAGGACACTCAAGATATAGATGCATGCGCGCGAGACCGCTCACTCGCACGCCCGACGCCACATGAGAAACCCTCTCAACAGTAGCCACGCACGGTCAGCAGCAGCGGGCGTGAGTCGGAGAATCTGCAAAACCCTTGCCCTCCTTCCTCCAGCATGTGCCGTGATGGGCTCCAGCGCTGGTTCATCTGCCGCTCAAAAATCTCACGCGAGCGAACGGTGTCAATCCTCAGCCGCGAGGATTGGGACCTTGAAATCCACGATCACAAGCAAACGCGCAGAGCATTGAGCAACACACCTCGGGTTGAACCTCTCAAGGTGCATGCTGTCACCGGCAGTCTGCATGTGGATCGTAGACGATGACTATGGCTGGAATAAGCTCAAGTTCGTCACGAGAAGAGCTCCAATGCCAGCCAGCTGGCTATCCCACACGCTCGGCCGTCGGCGAACTGCGGGGTTGCATGAGAGGGGGGGGGGGGGGGTGTCTGAGGCAAGGGGGCCCAGATCTGCTCGTCTCAGAGGGTTACCCTCTGTGCCAAGAGAGGCCATCCACGAGCGGCTCAGAGGGTACCTGGGCCGACCCTCTGAAGGCCTGTGCCCCCAAGCCAGCCTCTCTCTCTCGGCGCAGCCTCTCTCTGCTGAGGGAGGATGTATAGTGTAGAGCGCTGTAGAGCTGTAGAGATGTAGAGCGCTCTGGAGCGCTGTAGAGCTGTAGAGCTGCTACATCCGCCGCGTGACGAGGCGCCTCCGTTGTAGAGCGATGTAGAGCGCGATTTTGTTGTGAGTTTGTTGTAGAGGCTCTACAGCAAAACCGCCGGGAAGGCAGTGACTC